CGGCCTGGGCCAGAGGCTGGCAGGAACCTTTGAGAAGTTTAATCCGACGAAAAGTTTGGGACGCCAGGCGCCACTTTGATGAATCAGCAGTTTGGGAGCGGCGGATTTAGTAGCAGTCGGCCCATCATGCCACCGCGCCTGGGTTGTCGGTAAGCAGCCTCTTGGGTGCCTGTTGGGATCTCTTGGGAGGCCTCTCGGAAGCCTCTTGGATTCAGTTTGGAATGTATTGGAGCCTCTCGGGGGCCTCTTGGGGGCTCTTCGGGGCCTAGGGGCATCTTCGGGACCTCTCGGTAGCCTGCTGGCGGCGTCGGGGAACATCGTGGGGCGCAGGGCTCGAAGTGTCAGTTCGTGTCCCCCCTCTTGGGCCCCTCGTGGGCCACCTTGGGGGCCTCCCCAAAGAAGAAGCTGCCCGGGAAAAAGCCGACACCCCATCCTCCCGACGTCCACTCCTGCAACTGCCAAAGACCGTCGACATGGGGTCAAGGGGAAACGCAAGCACGATCGGCAGATTGCCAGAAGACGTCTACTGCCGGATAGGGATTGAATCATTAGCATGTACGGCAGGTTCGTGTCGTGCCGACCCCAGCGTTGGTTTTTGACACCGCAGGGATCGTTCAACCTTGAACGATCGGCCGCTGCCGCAACGTCCGATCGTTCAACATCGATCGATTCTGGGTCGCCGGCGGCGCTCAACCTTGAACGCCCGCGCTGGGGTCGCCGCTGGTCGACACGACGCAAACCTACCGTAATCACACGGTGGCTGGCTCTTGGGTCTCTCTCGGGCAGGCTTGGGGCCGCTCGGGGGCCTCCGGAGCCGTCCAAGGGCGATCCTGCGCGCCCCCCGAGCAGTCGCCACCCGAGGGGGCTGGTGTCCGGCAGGGCGGCGGGGCTCGCCGCAGGCGGATCCAAAGCAGGGACTGGGGTCGGCAAGGCAGGCCCCTCGCACCTCCACCTCTGAAGGGGCCCCAGGACACACACATCAAGACACACAAGTAGAGGGATTCCCCATATTTTCCTATATTTTCTGGGTTGTTGTCTCCCCCCCCTTCCCATATTTTCCCATATTTTCCTGGGCATCGACGGTTAATTGTGTCTGTGTGTTTTTTCCCTCCTGAAAGGTCGTCCCCTCTCACCTCCACCTCCTCCGCTGCGTGAGACTCCACGCCACAGTCCCTGCGACCCGAACGTCCGAGACGGCCCAGAGACAACCCGAACACTTCGATCCTCGATCCTCGATCCTCGAACGACGAGGACGTCGACGCAAACGTAAACGTGGACGACGACGACGACGACGACGACGACGACCCGAATCGTCTCATACGGACCTCCGGACCACGCATGACTGAAGGGGCCCCAGGACATACAAATAAATACACACAAATAAAGAGATTCCCCATCTTTTCCTATATTTTGTGCGTTTTTGTCCTCCCGCCCACTTCCCATATTTTCCTGGGAATCGACGATTAATTGTGTCTGTGTGTTTTTTCCCCTCCTCCACCTCCTCCGCTGCGTGAGACTCCACGCCACAGTCCCTTCGACCCGAACGTCCGAGACGGCCCCGGAACAAGCCGAACACATCGATCCTCGATCCTCGAACGACGAGGACGTCGACGCAAACGTAAACGTGGACGACGACGACAACGGCGACGACGACCCACATCGTCTCATACGGACCTCTGGACCATGCATTGAAAGGGCCCCAGGACACACAAATAAATACACACAAATAAAAAGATTCCCCATATTTTCCTATATTTTCTTGGTTTTTGTCTTCCCCCCACTTCCCATATTTTCTCATATTTTCCTGGGAATCGACGATTAATTGTGTCTGTGTGTTTTGTCCCCTCTCACCTCCACCTCCTCCGCTGCGTGAGACTCCACGCCACAGTCCCTTCAGCCCGAACGTCCGAGACGGCCCAGAGAAAACCCGAACACGTCGATCCTCGATCCTCGAACGACGAGGACGTCGACGCAAACGTAAACGTGGACGACGACGACGACGACGACAACGACCCAAATCGCCTCATACGGACCTCAGGACCATGCATTGAAGGGGCCCCAGGACACACAAATAAATACACACAAATAAACAGATTCCCCATACTTGTCTCATATTTTCTTGGTTTTTGTCTTCCCCCCACTTCCCATATTTCCCATATTTTCCCATATTGTCCTGGGAGTGGGCGATGAATTGTGTCTATGTGTTTTCCCTCCTGATGCATGACTTCATCCTGACAATTGTTTTCGAGCTGCGTCCATCCGTGGCGACGGGGCCGCCAGAAAGGCACAAACATCTTCGAAACGACGACGACCACCACGAAGACGACGATAGCGAACGAGGAGCAGGACGACGGCGACGACGACGACGACGACAGCGAGCGCGACGACGACGAGAGCGACGACGAGCACGAAAGGTCACCCCGCCCTCCGCTCCGCCAGCGCGCCGCGGATGACGCCAGGCGGGTGCAGCAGGGGATGCCGCCCGCGGCCGCGCGTCCAC